CCTGGTTGCTCACTCTGCTAAAGGAGAAGTCTGGGTCAGTGAGCCTCTTATTCAGTATCATAGGCAGACTGGACCCCAGAGGTCAGTCCCTGTCATGAGTGATTCCTGAGGGATCCCTGTAAACCAAGGTAAGAAAGAGACCAAACACCCACCAGGGACTGTTGTGGAGCAGAAATGGGCCTGAGAGCATCAAGAAGTCTATGCAGCTCTGGGATGCAACAGAGTTGGAATTCTCAAGGTCCCTCCTTTCTCCCTAAGAGTCCTTAGAAGTGGGGTTTATACATCTTTCTGGAAACCTCCTGGCTGAGGACACAGGGACAGGAAGGTAGGCTTCCCTGAGGGACTGTTCTCAGTGAGTGGAATAGGGACAAGGTAAGGGATGTGGCACTAGATGAAGATCCAGTCGCAGAGGCAGCTTCTAGCAGCCACCTGCCTGGTTGAGATGGAAACGCCGATTCCAGCTCCAGCCCCCAGACAGGCTAAGAATATCTCAGCCGAGCAACAGCCACCACCCCCGCCCTTCTTGATCTGTGCATGCATCTGTAGTGCTATCCTGGGAGCAGTGAGGAGATTGAGTGGGGGGCATGCTTGGGGTGCAAGGCAAAGGAGAGGAGGCTGAGACCGGGCTCCGTTGGAGGCAGGAAGTGATCTAAGAAAGAACTGCCCAGAAAGGCATTGAGAACTAGGAAGCCAAAGGAAAGTCAAGACAGGAACCAGGCAGCTGGGTTAACAATGGGGATGAGGATGAGACAGGCGGGTCATTGTAGGTAACAAGGAGGAGGACAAGGCTCCTTCTTCCATCATGAAAAGACCAGAGTTCATGACAGGGCAAAGGAGCTTCCAACTTACCTCTACCCTTTTCTGTTCCTTCGTCTGCATCCTCCACTAGTCAATATTGGTCCCTTCTCTTCCCCAGAGCATCACATTCCTTCTTCATGTTCCCAGTTCTAATTCCTGTTCAAAAGTATCTGTGTGTGGGCTCTTTTAACCAAGCCTTTCTAGCACAGAGCCTTCTATTAAAGACAGGTGAGAATGGGGAGTTCCTAGCAGCTAGCACACCTCCCCTGTCTGTTTCCTTTCTTCATGCATGTCTCCTTTCAATCTGCTTTGTTATTTTAGGAGGGGTTCACCTCCACAAGACAATTCAGGACTCCCCAAGACAACTCAGGTTTCCTGAGGTAAGTCCTTAAGAAAGGGAGGAAGAGACGGAGGGAGGAAAAGAGGGATGGATGGATGGATGGATGGATGGATGGATGGATGGATGGAGTGCTGGGCTAGTTCATCTTCTCTCTCTGCATCTCAGGGCCAGAGAGCCTGGGTGGAGCTGTTGAATCTTCATGGGAGCTGGGACTAGGCAGTATCTCCAAGCACTCAGATGCCCAGGCTGCATCTTCACCCTGGCTGTCTTAAGAACCTTGTGCTGCCATTAGCCTCTTTGTAGGGGACCTCTAGAGACCTATGGATGCAACATGGAGGGTCTGGGATCTCCAGGTTTAACATTTACTGGGGAGACCCTGGACCTCAACCTGCTTGGGCCTCCTCTCTAGTCCTTTCCTCCCTTCCAGGGTCTCTTGTCGAGCTCCTGGGGACAGAGGAATAATTTGCATTGCTAATAGCTCCAGCTCCACTCCCCTTGTCTCCTAGACTGAACTGCAGACACATAGGCCTCACACGGACGCTGTGCACACAAAGACTGAGCCCAGCAGACAGAAACAGATTAGGAGGAAGCAGACAGGGCTGGAGCTAGAGAGAGAAATAGATTCATAGGCTGAATTTGATTCGGAATCAGAGTTGTAGGATTGAAAAGCTTAGGAGCTCTTTCTGTGCAATTCCTAAAATACTGTCTCATTCTTCTAATCACCATTTTTAAAATCTGATAATAAAAGTAAAACACGCCGCATCCCTAAATTTTTATCATGAAGAAACAGGCTCAGAAAGACAAAATGACTTCCCCAAGGTCATGTAACTGGCAAGCTCCGGGCTGTACCTCCTTGTGCCTGTCTTTTAAACTAAATCCTGAGAGAGAGAGAGAGAGAGAGAGAGAGAGAGAGAGAAAAGAGTTTGTATTGCATAGCTTGGAGACATTCCTAGCTTACCTGCCCAGAAAGGTGAGTGAGATGCACTTCTAAAGTGAATTGGTGGGGACCTTCATCAGTAAGTCCTGTCCTGGGCCCTGTAGCTCTTGGTTTGGACCTACTGCTATAGCCTGGAAGACAGTGGATTGTTCTAGATAATCTGAAGAGTCATAGAGACAGTTCTCAGCATGGTTCCAAAGGCCAATACAGGAAATGGTCAGATGAGAAACAACATCCAGAAACAACATAATTAATGAATCATACAAAGGCTCTAAACATAACTCAACCAGAAAAACAGTTACAGATGTGGCAAAAAAAAAAAAAAAAAAAAAAAAAAAAAAGTCATCAACCTTCTGTAATATAAAGTCTTCCAATGGCTTTATCCCCCTGGATGGCATCTCCCATCATCTCTACCCTGTATAATGCACTCCTCTTCCTTTCACCGCTTAGTGCCTCTAGCTTATCCTCTCAACCAGTTCAGAAACGCTTCCTGCAGAGGAGGTGAAAATTCAAGAGCTTGATAGCTGGCAATACGGTATTGTGAGAGAGGGTTGTGGACCATAGTACATACTCAGAGACTCAGGAGGCTAATCAGAGCAGGAGAGAGAGGGGTGCCTGTAAGCCAGAAAGAGAGTTTCAGATGGGGGGGGGGAGCTGAAGAGTAAAGGGTGAGATGAGATCTCAGAGGCACCTGGTCTGGGGACCCTGGAACAGGGGAAAGTTCTCGATTATGAGAAACAGGCTAACAGAAGGGTCACAACTGAGCCTGGAGTAGCAGCACCTACATGGTGATATTTGTGGTGCAGAGATTGTGTCCTAAATGGTACCAGCAATAATCCTTGCGTCAATGAGAGACTCCTGGGAGCTAGGAGGACCCACGTGCCATTCAGATCCACGTGCCAGGTTTCTGCTGGCACAGCTCAGTCTCTGCGGGGCCTGTCCTTAACTACCAGTGAGCCAACTGTTCCTTGGGTGTCAAATAAAGGCTGACTCAGAAGGCCTTGTAGGAGTAAGTGGGGCCAGTTATAGGAGCTGCAAAGAGGGAACATTTCCCCATAGTTATAGAGAGAATGAGAGGTTGGGCAGAACAATAAAGCTACAAGAGAATAAAGATCAGATTCAAGGACACAGAGAGACCCTGCTGAGAATGAGTGCATTGGGACTGGTGGGGTGGCTCAGCTGGTAAAACCACTTGCAGGCAAGCCTAAGGACCTGTGTTTCATCCCCAGAATCCATAGGTGGGAGGCAAAAACTCCCCAAAGTTGTCTTTTGACTCCAAATATGCCAAGCATATGCACCTCCCCACAGAATAAATAATGAATAATAATAATAATAATAATAATAATAATAATAATAATAATAATAAACCAAGTCCATATGTGACCACGGTTGCAGAGAAGGGCGATTTGAGGAAGCTGACCTCAGCTTCCAGGAGGGGTTGGGTGAGATTGCAGGGAAAAGCCGGAGTCTAAGGGGATCCTGGGACAGCCCATTTATAATGGAACAACGGGACACATACAGAGAGAGGACTCAGTCCTGCAGTAATGAGTCTTTGTTCTTGTGCTGGGTCTAGTGAAAATAGAGGCAGTCTTGGCTGTGCCTATAATCCCAGAATCTGGGAAGCTGAGGATGGAGAATGTAGAGTTCAAAGCCAGCTTGAGTATAATCCTGCAGACAGACAGAGAGAGAGAGAGAGAGAGAGAGAGAGAGAGAGAGAGAGAGTTGGGGACAATTCTGAGAATAGTTACTGAAGGGGCTGGCAGGGACTTCTCTGTCCACCAAACCCATCCCCATGCCAGTGCCCAAGGTCCACCTAAGAAACTAGAAGACTCCGGGCATGGAAGCCAAAGCATGGCTGGGAGAGAACGGTCCTATCAGGCATACTCAATAGGCCCAGGACAAGTGGTGCTCCTAACCTGCAGGCAGGACTCAGAGAGTCCAAAGTCTAGGACAATGGCCTTGGGCACTGCAGAGAGAATGGAAAGATTCAGAGAAATAGGCAGTACCCAGTCTAGCAGGTAGCATCTGGGAGTGGGACCAGCTGTGACCTGAGCAGTAGGAAGCTATTTAATGATCAAAATCCACCTCAATTTGGACCCAGGTCTTGACTGGAAGGTGGGCCAATCCTCGTGGGCCTATTTCTGCACAGAAGGCCCCATTTGCTGTCCCAGCCTGCGAGCCATCAACTGATCTAATTTCCAGAGTTCCCTAGAGTCCTACCACCATCCATTACCCACCCAGAGGGTGAGATCAATGTGTTGGTGGATAACCAATCAAAAAGGAGCTGTCCAGGGGCCAGGGCCAGATGCAGGAAATCCCATTAGGTCTCTGAGACTCCCTGCTCCTTCCCCATGAACCAAAGATTCGTCTTGCCAAAGGGGGAAGGGTGTGATTGCTCAGGCTCATCCACTAGCATTCTCTCAGAGAGCAGGAATGTGCTGGGGGTGGGGGGGATCAGGGGGAGGCGACCAAGAGGAAAGAAGCAACCGGATTTCCAGATTGGAGGAGCTAGCAGGTGTCTTGATGAGGGCACTCACTGCCATATTGCCTACTAAACAAACTCAAAGGTGAGCAAATGGAAGGTTATTTCCCATGGCTTCTATACTGCGGCTTGGACCCAGTCTATCAAAACATTCAGACCCCACGGTCTTAGGACCTGGAGGAAAAGATGGAAACAGCCGTTTCCACCTCACTCCAAACCCCGCTCAGTCCAAGAAAGAGACCCCCAAATCACACCCCCTCCCCTCCTCCTTTTCCTCCTATCCCCCTTTCCCCTTTCGGGTAAAGGTAAGGGACTGAAGACTCCGGGCGGTGGGTAAGGCGGGACTTTAGATTAATATACAACATTCTATTGGTCAGAACAATTGCCGATCAAAAGCATCTTGAATCAGAATTGGCTGCGTGAGGCGGGGCGCGGCGTGGCGAAAGAAGGGGCCCAAGGGGTGGGGCTGACGCTGCAGCTGGCGCAGCTTCGGCTCAGAGCAGCCGCCGCGGCGCAGCAGAGCGGCTCCTTCCCCCGCCCGTCCGCGCGCCGGGGCCGGGGCTAGGCCCCCCACCGCCGGGTCCCCCGGGGCTGCAGCAGCTGCGGCGCCGCCCGCGGTTCCCGCCGGGACCCGGGCGCCGGCCCCGCTCTGCAGGATGGGCACGGTGCTGTCGCTTTCCCCTGCTTCCTCGGCCAAGGGCCGGAGGCCGGGAGGGCTGCCGGAGGAGAAAAAGAAGGCGCCGCCCGCGGGGGACGAGGCGCTGGGGGGCTACGGCGCGCCGCCGGCGGGCAAGGGCGGCAAAGGCGAGAGCCGGCTCAAGCGGCCGTCCGTGCTCATCTCGGCGCTCACCTGGAAGCGCCTGGTGGCAGCCTCGGCCAAGAAGAAGAAAGGCAGCAAAAAGGTGACGCCCAAGCCAGCGTCCACTGGTCCCGACCCTTTGGTCCAGCAGCGCAACCGCGAGAACCTTCTCCGCAAGGGCCGCGACGCCCCCGACGGTGGCGGAGCGGCCAAGCCCCTGGCCGTGCCGGTGCCCACGGTGCCCGCGGCCGCTGCTACCTGCGAGCCCCCGTCGGGGGGCAGCGCGGCCGCCCCGCCACCAGGCTCAGGCGGGGGGAAGCCGCCGCCGCCACCCCCAGCCCCGCAGGCGGCACCGCCGGCACCCGGAGGCTCGCCGCGGCGGGTCATCGTGCAGGCGTCCACCGGCGAGCTGCTGCGCTGCCTCGGCGATTTCGTGTGCCGACGCTGCTACCGCCTCAAGGAGCTGAGCCCCGGCGAGCTGGTGGGCTGGTTCCGCGGCGTGGACCGCTCGCTGCTACTGCAGGGCTGGCAAGACCAGGCCTTCATTACGCCCGCCAACCTGGTGTTCGTGTACCTGCTGTGTCGCGAGTCGCTGCGCGGGGACGAGCTGGCGTCGGCCGCCGAACTGCAGGCCGCCTTCCTCACCTGCCTCTACCTCGCCTACTCCTACATGGGCAACGAGATCTCTTACCCGCTCAAGCCCTTCCTCGTGGAGCCCGACAAGGAGCGTTTCTGGCAGCGCTGCCTGCGCCTCATCCAGCGGCTCAGCCCGCAGATGCTGCGGCTCAATGCCGACCCCCACTTCTTCACGCAAGTCTTTCAAGACCTCAAGAACGAGGGCGAGGCCGCGGCAAGCACCGGGGGTCCACCCAGCGGAGGCGCATCCACCACCTCCTCCTCGACCGCCAGGGACAGCTGCGCGGCCGGAGCCAAGCACTGGACTATGAACTTGGACCGCTAGGGATTCCCATGGGCCGCGCCCGCCCCCCCCGCCCCAGCCCCTCACACACACCCGGAACCCCCCCCCCCGGGACCATCAAGCCTCCGCCGCTATTACCGCTGCTCTATGCCCAAGCTGGGCCAAGGAGGAGCTGCCCCTGCCCCACAGGGGAAGGTGGAGGCTAGTACGCCAGAGGCCGCGGGGTCTGGGTTTTCTGGGAGTGGGGTGGGCGTGGGGGATGATCGCGGGAAGGGCACTCCCAACTTCGTTCACCCTTTCCGTCTGTCTGCGCCTCCATCTTTCCATTTCTGCCTGGGTCCTCCCTCTTCTGCTGTGGGCTTCTCGAAGTTCACCACCCTGGGTTTCGCCAGTTCCTCGCCTTTCTGTGTGTGTCTTCATCCTTCCTTATGTCCTCAGCCCTCTCTCTCTCTGCCTCTCCATTGGTTTCCCTGGGCTTTACCCTTCTCCGTCTTACCCTGAGCCCGATGGTACCCTTTGCCCTCCCTGCAGCTCCCACACCTGTGTTTCCAGGTACCCTTCTTGTTCTTATTCCTTCCTCTTGTCATATGTCACCACCTTTCCTCCTGTCTGCCTCCCCTCTCTGCTTGTTTCATCCTGCATCCCTTCCCCCCCCCCGAGATTCTACACCCCTCTCCCCAGATAAAAAAGACCCTTAGTTTTTTATTTGGATGGTCTGAAGTGCGACAAGAATCTGCAGTCCCAGGCGCCCAGGCAAAGATCAGGGTGGTCCTTTTCCTCTCCCCCACAGCCTCTTCCACCTTTCCAACGTGTTGCATGCTGGGAGTTGGCGGGGGTTGGGGAGGAAGGGCTGCTGCCTTCATTCAGGAGGCTGAGATTTGAGGGCAAGATCTAAGCTGGTAGACCACCTTGCTTGCAGCGGTGGTGTCATCTCTGTGGATGGGTAGAAAGAGAAAGAGACCTCTTCTTATGCAGGGGGAGGGGTTCCCTCTTCCTTACCCTTATATTTCTTGTTATATCCTCTCCCCACATTAATTTATTTCACTGTTTCAGGAGGGAGGGTGGGTGGGGAGGGGGCTGGGCCGGGAATTGTCCGAGGTGCTGAGCTGGGCGGGACCGGAATCCTCCTGGGATAGTACCAGGGACTGGGTTGGGCCTGGGGCCGTGTCCAAGGTGCCAATGATGCGGGCCGACAGCGCGGGCCGCACTATCTGTCCGTCTGTCCTGGAGAGAACTATAAAGCGCTGGAAGCGCCTACAGATGGTTTTGCGCCAGCCTTTCTTTGGGTCCCTGGAGGGTGGGAATGAATGGGGACTAGAAGTGAAACTGTCAGGGGAAGGCGGAGGGCCAGAAACAGGGATCTAGACGGGAAAGTCAAGTCCCTGAGAGCTGAACCTGCTACCTGCCTTCACTGGTTTTCATTTTAGAGCAAAGCGTGATAAGCCAAGGGTTGAGGCTGAATCTGCCTCCCCATCCTGACCTCCATCTTGTCTACCCTAGCTCCTTATTAATGCTCAGGCTACTTGAGGACAAATGGTAAGGACAGCAGAAGACACTCCCCTTCTATGAGATGACCCTTCAGACAGAACTGGCTAGCCACGATAACTGCTTTTTCTTGGATCAGGAGGCTAGCCAGGCCTGACTAAGCCTGTGCTTACCTCTCTCAGTTGAGAACTGAGTACCACCCCCATGTACCCAATCACTAAGGAGTTACACTGAGACTGCTTTGGACACACACGCCTACCCGGAGCAGTCTTTGGAGGCCCATTTCTGCTTGGGACTCAGACCTTGACCCTTGACCACCAGAAGAGTGCAGATATAGGCAGAAAGTAAAGGGGAGACGAAAACCATTTCGAATAGAAAGAGGGAAGAAATAAGCCATTTGACTACAAATCTCTGTTTAGCCTCCCCATTGCCTTCTTAGTTACACAGTGAAATAGCACATCCAGTGTTGCATCCGCTCAAGGATGACTGACTGCTGGCAGAACGTTTGCGGTTGCGAGCCTGATCGGCACTGCAGCCACGAAGATCTAGAAAGAGTTCCGGGAGGGGCCCCGCAAAGAAAAGGCCTCCGGTTCGCTGTCCGTGGTGCTGAAGGATGCGTCCGTGCAGGGTGGGCGTTTGCACTACCCGCAAGAGAAAGGAACTCGGCCTCAGCTAGATCTTCTGAATAATTAACGAGAGGGGTGTAAGCTATTCTGGCCACAAGTTACAAAGTCTGGCCCGGGAACCCAAGAATGTTGCCTCCCCTTTTGCCCTCCTCGGGGGGCCGGACTTGGTTTTCACCTGGCCTGTACCCATAGCTTCAGCACCCGGCCTGGAGGCGGAAATCCTGGGTCTAGATTTGTGAATCGAGTTCCCTGGGGGGAGGAGGGGGAAAGCTAGCGGAAGGGAAGGCGGGAGCAGCCGCCTATTGGCTGGAATTTGGCGCAGTCAACGCGGTGCCGTCATCTCTCTGGATTTGGGAGGAGGGAAGGAGGATCACTTGGGTCACTTCGCGGCTGTAGCTATGGCAACCAGACTCAGCGGGCGGGGCCACCTTTCTACTCTCCTACCTTTGGGTAGGGAATGTATCCCTTTTTCCTAATTTGGAACTAATTACTGAGACCAGCTGCTTGATTGGAATTTCAGAGTTCGAGCAGCCTAAACGGGATGAGGAGGAGCTGATGGAGATCTTTAAAAAATTCTTGCCCCTGGAGAATCAAGATACTGCCCCGAACTCAGGGATACATGAGTTCCTGATACTCCCAAGGGCGCGCACGCGCGCGCGCGCGCACACACACACACACACACACACACACACACACGTACACGCCCTCATGTGCCTCTTGGAACTTACCGTCAGGCACTAAAGAACTCATATGAGGAGGGGAAAACTCATCAGTGAGTAGTGTCAACTTGCCTTACTATGGCCCAAAGCCAGAGATACTGCCATAAATCCGATTAGAGCTGGGGGTGGGGTTCTGGAAGATGATCATCCGGACTGTAAGGAATAATTAGCCTTCTGGGTCACATTTGCTCAGAGTCCTGTTTTCTCTGGGTGGAAGGCAATAGGAAGGACCCAGAACAGAGGTCTCTGAGAAGCTGAAAGGACATCGCTGAACGAGAGAGAGAGAGGGGGGGGGGAGGGAAAGTTCCTTGTCTTTCGTGCCAGAGATTTGAACCTGGAAGCGGGGTGGGGGCGTGGGGGTGCGTCCAGGTTGGCGAAGAGGGCCTAGAACTGTCTGGAGAGTCCAGAAGAGCCAAGGGTAGACTAACGGAAATGAAGGTTCGGAGACAGAAACCCAACTGGAGCATGACTCAGCACTTCCCGTTGCAAAGGACCAAAGTGGAGGGAGGGCCTTAGGAAAGCAAATAGATATGCACGATGCATACATCAATATACAGCCAAAGGCATATGTTTAGCTCAAACAGACATGAATGCATTTATGCTAATGAAAGTTCACCCAATTGTATACATATATGTGGTCCTCCTTGTTGGAGGGGGACATTCTATCCTGAGAGCCATGTTTGCCTGTCCCCAGAATACCTTAGTACTTATTGGAAAAGGAGAAATGTAAAAACCACCCAGATATGGGAGGGTGGTTGTCATGGGAACCCCTTTGCCTGCTAGCCAGGGTGCCCAGCAACCAGAGCATCTGGCAGTATCGAGGAGGCTATTCTATGGCCTCTGCACACTGGGACTCTGCCTCCAGTACCAAGTGGGTACTTCTGGAAGGTTTCTGTCAGGGAGCTTCCCAAAACAGTGCACCTACCCCAGTCAGACCAACAGAATATGATGTCGAGCAGGAAGTATTGGGTAGGGATCTGACCTTAAAGTGACCCCTTCTTCAAGTACCCCCTTTTAAATGCTATTCTCTCTCCCTACCCTTCAGGGTCTCACTATGCAGCCAGGGCTATCCGGGAACTCTGTGTAGACCAGAGTAGTCTGGAACTTGAGGTAATCCTGATGGTCTTGTCTTTGCCTCCTGAGTTACAGGCAGGTACTGCCATACATGGGTTTGAGTAATATTCTTCATTCCCATATATGTGGTTGTCAGTAATTGCTGTGTGTGGCTTCTAGAACAGTAAGTACATTTAACCACTGGGTCGGTCATCTTTTCCACTCCTCACCCAAAGCTTGTCTCTTGAGCAGTCAGCTGCTCTCAAGATCCCTTTCTGCCTGGAGACATTCCCCATAATAATTACTGGCTTCTTTTAAAGTACCATCATCATTTCTCAACACCCTTTTAATCAACTGTCTATAGGTTTTTTTATGTATAGTGTTCTGCCTGCATGTATGCCTGCAGGCCAGAAGAGGGCACTAGACCTCATTATAGATGTGGTTGCTGGGGATTGAACTCAGGGCTTTTGGAAGTGTAGTCAGTGCTCTTAACCTCTGAGTCATCTTTCCAACCCGACAATAAATCTTATTAAAATAAGTCTTTATATTTTATATATGACAACTCAAAAGTCAGGAAAAGTAACGATGAAAAATATAAATAGAGAAATAAGTACCTCTTTCTGCATGGTACTCCTCCAAGGGTGGGGGAGGGCAGAACAGTATGGCAGCTCACAGCTATTTGGGAGTCTGAGGCTGGAAGATTCCTTGAGCCTCCAGGACCAGGTCAGCCTGCAAAACAGAGTGAGACCCTCAACTCAAAACAATGACATATATTCACATATTATCCCAGAGAAAACACACACTACCAAGGAAACCCTAAGAAGAGTGAATGAAGTCAGCCATGACCCACCTGTGATCTCGGCACCTCAGAGGCTATGGCAGGGTACTACCAGTTCAAGGACAGCCTGTCAAGGACTAGGAGGAGCAGAGAGGGCTTATTAAAATATACGACACTGGTACATGAACAGACTGTACAGTAGAGGAAAAAAGATAGTCTAAAGCTAAACTATGTTATGCTGGGAATCTAGTGTAACACGAAAGTATCTTTTAGAATTCTCTGGGAAAAACTGGGAGAGCCAATGAATGGTTTGTTTACAACTAGATAACCATTTAGTTAAAGTGGGGGGGGGAGGTCAATGTTCCTTATTCTTTTCCCTCAAAATACATCAAAATCTGATCAAAGATTTAAAGGAAAAAATACCACACAGCTTTGGATGAGG